GCGGGGACGCTAAGCCCCGAAATCATCTGCAGCTAACCTGGAGCACTACTGCACCCTCCAGGACTCCTGAGGCTCGCACTGGAGAGCACCAGGGAACACCCACCTCACAGGTTCCAATCCCCCATCACAGTTACTGTGGATTTTCCCAGAAGACTACCAGCACGGCCCTGAGGCCACTCCCAGGGGGTAAGGGATGAACCCCAGCTACAGATATCAAGGCTTACATGCCCCCGCTGGGGACGGCAGGGGTTAAACCGGGCCCCAGGAGTGAGCGGGCCCCGGGGCGTCAAGAGCATGACTACTCTCAGGTAACTCTCCAGGTGAGCTGAGTGTGACCTGGAAGTATATAGGGCCCAGCATGCTGCTACAGCAACGTGTAGGAGCATAGCCAGCTCCTTCAGGCCCAGCACGCTCCTACAGCAACGTGTAGGAGCATAGCCAGCTCCTTCAGGCCCAGCATGCTGCTACAGCAACGTCTAGGAGCATAGCCAGCTCCTTCAGGCCCAGCATGCTGCTACAGCAACGTGTAGGAGCATAGCCAGCTCCTTCAGGCCCAGCACGCTCCTACAGCAACGTCTAGGAGCATAGTCAGCTCCTTCAGGCCCAGCACGCTCCTACAGCAACGTCTAGGAGCATAGTCAGCTCCTTCAGGCCCAGCACGCTCCTACAGCAACGCCTAGGAGCATGCTAGGTGGGTTATCTAACGATATCCAAAGCACTTGGATCACCGGGCAGCGAACGCCGCCGACGTGCAGAAGTAGTGAAGCCGTGGCTGTACCGACCAGTGCAAGCGCGCCTCCAGAACACCCAGGGCTGGTGTTGAGAACACACCGCCTGACACGTGAGGAACACCACGAGAGGTGGTCTTGTGGGTCAAGAGGTGGCAACTCTTGCTATTGTGGCGGGAAGTGTTGCCATATTGGCGGGAAGTGTTGCCATATTGGCGGGAAATGCCCCAAGCCAGACGATACGCACCCTCTTCCCTCCCTCCCTTCCCCTTGCCTTTACTTTTCTGTTTCCTAATGGGTATTCCTCCCTTATCTTCCCTACGACAAAGGGTTACCCTCTTCACCCCATGGAACACGTCCAAACAACACGGTGGGTATAAGGTGGGAGCGTATAAGTGGGTGGGTATAAGGCGCAAGATATAAAGCAGGTATACACAAAGTATACACAAAGTATACACAAAGTATACCCAAGGTGGAGAGGGGGAGGGCTGAACTAACATCCTCCACGGCGCCCTGCTCAACCTCCCCAACCTGTTCTGCCTCATCGACAGTCACAGCCCTGGATCAAACAGCCTATAGTGTCTCAGTCTATTGAATCCATAAATCAGTTACAATGAGACGTATTAGTTAAGAATTAAGGCAGCCTAATACTAGCTTTTACTATGCTCTGGCTTCGATAGGTTAGGTAGGTTGCCTGGGTTGGTACGTTTCACATTAAACAAACCGTTGTATTTTGTACGTAGTGGCAATACGAGAGAACGAATTGGATCATTTATGTCTCCAGGTTTTAATCGATGTTACTTATTTCATTTTAGCAAGGAAAATGGATTTATATAAATGACAATTATAATTTTTGTAAGTCAGTTTAGGAGATATTAATTGTCTAATATGTAAAATGAGTTGTATATATACTTTATATTCATAATATGAGAACACAGTTCAAAAATATATTCACAAAACTGATACATACTTCAATATAAATTTCATTCTGTACTGGTGCAATACAGAGCTAAGCTAATTTGAATATTATATTTGTTAATACACTGCTCACTTTGTAATACGAATATTATAGAACAATTATTTGAGCCTGTCACGCGTGTAAGCCTAGTTAACCAACCACAAACATGTTACGTAGTTATCTAGTGTGTAAATGGCTAACTCAGCCTAACACAGTCAATACATTCTAACCTAAACTAAGCCAATCCAGCCTAACAAAATCAATACGGCCTAACCTAACCTTATGTAAGTTTTGGACTCTTGAAAAACTCAAACCTAACTATTTAATTCACTTAAAATTTTGTCCTGAAGGACAAGTTTCTTGGGCAGCGTCACTCATCCTGTGAGTGACCCGACCACAATAGCAAGAAAACCTATATATATATATATATATATATATATATATATATATATTATATATATATATATATATATATATATATATATATATATATATGTCGTACCTAGTAGCCAGAACTCACTTCTCAGCCTACTATTCAAGGCCCGATTTGCCTAATAAGCCAAGTTTTCCTGAATTAATATATTTACTATAATTTTTTTCTTATGAAATGATAAAGCAACCCTTTTCTCTATGTATGAGGTCAATTTTTTTTACTGGAGTTAAAATTAACGTAGATATATGACCGAACCTAACCAACCCTACCTAACCTAACCTAACCTATATTTATAGGTAAGGTTAGGTTAGGTAGCCAAAAAAGCTAGGTTAGGTTAGGTAGGTTAGGTAGACGAAAAAACATTAATTCATGAAAACTTGGCTTATTAGGCAAATCGGGCCTTGAATAGTAGGCTGAGAAGTGCGTTCTGGCTATTAGGTACGACATATATATATATATATATATATATATATATATATATATATATATATATATATATATATATATATATATATATATACCTAGCGATATATATAGTTTTGAAAACCAGAAATAGTTAGCTTGATAATATACAAGCTTTTGGCAATCAGAAAAAAACCGTTTTGAGGAATAGGCTGAAGAATGCGGCGTCCTTATTTACTAGTTGGTCACCCAGCTGACAAATCCCCGCCAAATTTTAAACTTCTTTTCACAGAAAAATAATTGTTTTTACACACTAAGGATCTAAACAAAATCCACTCTTATATGCACCTGTCAAATATAAACTAATGGTTATTCATATATACAAATTATGCGTTACACGAGAGAAAAATAAATATCTTGATATGGCAATATTTTCAGGGGCCCCCAATCTCTGTTTACCGCCAAATATTTCGGTTTGTTAAGAAGTTCGCGGTGTGTTTGTCCAAGCTGCCCGTCACTCACCCGCTGGCTGCTTGGGTAAGGTACTGCCCCGTCACTCACCCCAAGGTGTATTTGTCTAAGGTACTGCCCTGTCACTCACCCGCTGGCTGCTTGGGTAAGGTACTGCCCCCGTCACTCACCCCACCGTGTGTTTGTCTAGGGTACTGCCTTGTCACTCACCCCCAGGTGTGTTTGTCTAGGGTACTGCCTTGTCACTCACCCCAAGGTGTGTTTGTCTAGGGTACTGCCCTGTCACTCACCCCAAGGTGTGTTTGTCTAAGGTACTGCCTTGTCACTCACCCCAAGGTGTGTTTGTCTAAGGTACTGCCTTGTCACTCACCCCAAGGTGTGTTTGTCTAGGGTACTGCCTTGTCACTCACCCCAAGGTGTGTTTGTCTAGGGTACTGCCTTGTCACTCACCCCAAGGTGTGTTTGTCTAGGGTACTGCTGTCACTCACCGCAAGGTGTGCTTGTTTAAAGTACTGCCTTGTCACTCACCCCCAGGTGTGTTTGTCTAGGGTACTGCCTTGTCACTCACCCCAAGGTGTGTTTGTCTAGGGTACTGCCTTGTCACTCACCCCAAGGTGTGTTTGTCTAGGGTACTGCCTTGTCACTCACCCCAAGGTGTGTTTGTCTAAGGTACTGCCTTGTCACTCACCCCAAGGTGTGTTTGTCTAGGGTACTGCCCTGTCACTCACCCCAAGGTGTGTTTGTCTAAGGTACTGCCCTGTCACTCACCCCAAGGTGTGTTTGTCTAGGGTACTGCCCTGTCACTCACCCCAAGGTGTGTTTGTCTAGGGTACTGCTGTCACTCACCCCAAGGTGTGTTTGTCTAAGGTACTGCCTTGTCACTCACCCCAAGGTGTGTTTGTCTAAGGTACTGCCTTGTCACTCACCCCAAGGTGTGTTTGTCTAGGGTACTGCCCTGTCACTCACCCCAAGGTGTGTTTGTCTAGGGTACTGCTGTCACTCACCCCAAGGTGTGTTTGTTTAAAGTACTGCCCTGTCACTCATCCCAATGGATACAATGTACAAAATATAAAATGTTGGACACACAAAAGCTTCACATGGTGTACTATATAATTTTTATAAGCACAACAAAACCTGACACAGCCTAATTATAAATCTAACTTGTCCTAGGCCTAAATAAACAACAATAGAGCTTGTATATGTACAAACTGTTTTATATGTGGCTCATTATTGTTAAACTGTATATGGTATATGTGTGGTTTGTTCATCATTATATAGTTAGGTGGGACTGGTTATGGGTATTATAAAATGGGTCTCAGGTTAAGAAAGTATATAAATACTTCCTGAAGTTTTTAAGATAACTTTCGTTAACTTTCTTAACGTATGTAAATAAAAATATTTGAATCAAATCCCGTATATTATTTGTCTAAAACTCAAATATTATCATCATAGGTTAGGTTAAGCTAGGCTTTTTCATATTTTAAAATCCGTTATTTAAAAATTATAAATAACTTCAATAGTCAGGAAACAAAAGAGTAGTAACAATGACAAACAATGACAGAGGATAATTATCCTTGAGAACACCATTAATCAAAGGCTGAGACGTCACTGAAGACGATGGTTCAGTCATTTAATACCACACTTCCCTTCAGATTATATTGGCTTGTTAATGACGACATCAACGAGGCTATTAAGGTCTAAAATCTACCCAACTATTACAAGTTACAGCCAAAGATACTAAGGTAACTTTGATATATTAAATACATGAATAGCATTAGGTTTTATAAGGCTTTCAGTGTAACTGCAATAATAAACTTGTAGGATTGGGGAAGTAGAAATATTAAGTTTATCTAACATGTTATTCATTTAAAATTCATATCTAGAGCTTATTTAATATGGAGCAATGGGAATAGTGGTGAGCTAAACTCAATGTGGCTGCGAGAGCAGACTACTACTCTTGGGCCCCGCCTTTCAAACCACTGCTTGTCTACGGCTGTGTATGTCCTGCTTCATATATGATATATACTTACATATATCTCTCACACACACAAGTGTACCAAACAACAGCCACTGGCCTTGGGTTGACAAGCCGAGCGTGACAACAGTTGTGGCAACTTACCTGCAGGAGATTAAGAGTCTTGCTTGGATTATGGGCCAAAACATCTTCACTAATACGTAGTAAATCCGAGAGATCCAGCGGCGAGGCTGGACTCGACCCCTCGACATCACTCAGGTCCAGAGAGTCCTGATCCTCACTACTGTGACACTCAGTGAGAGTTCCTGCTTGAGTGAGAGTGGTGCCATCAGACAACGGAGCCTCAGCGTCACTCATGTCCTTGTAACTCGTATTAAAACATGTTCCTGTTGGCCGTGATGCCTGTAAGCCTTCGCTAACGGTGTGGCTGATACCTGTGGCGCCGCTACACTCATTCACACTCTCCAGTATTGTATTTCCACACTCCTTGCTGCGGGGAGCTGTTAGTCCGCACTTGCTACTGCTGCTGCTACTGTTGCTGCTGCTGCTGCTGCTGCTGTTGCTGCTTCCTGGTGCAGAGTCCGCGGTAGTACTCTGTGCGTTGCTTGGGCCCTCTTTGTCTCTCACACTCACGCACTCTGGCGCACTGATGGCCTCAACGACGCACTCTACTTCGGGGCAATTCTTGTTCGTCTCGGCAACGCATTGCACTGATGGCTGCCTCTCTCCGACGCACTCCAATACTGGGGCTGTCTCTCCAACGCACTCCAACACTGGGACTGTCTCTCCAACGCACTCCAACACTGGGGCTGTCTCTCCAACGCACTCCAACACTGGGACTGTCTCACCAACGCACTCCAACACTGGGACTGTCTCACCAACGCACTCCAATACTGGGGCTGTCTCTCCAACGCACTCCAACACTGGGACTGTCTCACCAACGCACTCCAACACTGGGACTGTCTCACCAACGCACTCCAACACTGGTGTTGTCTCTCCAACGCACTCCAACACTGGTGCTGTCTCTCCAACGTACTCCAACAGTGGGACTGTCTCACCAACGCACTCCAACACTGGTGTTGCCTCTCCAACGCACTCCAACACTGGGGCTGCCTCTCCAACGCATTCCAACACTGGGACTGTCTCTCCAACGCACTCCAACACTGGTACTTTGTCTCCAACGTACTCCAACACTGGTGCTGTCTCTTCAACGCACTCCAACACTGGTGCTGCCTCTCCAACGCACTCCAACACTGGTGCTGCCTCTCCAACGCACTCCAACACTGGTGCTGCCTCACCAACGCACTCCAACACTGGTGCTGCCTCTCCAACGCACTCCAACACTGGTGCTGCCTCTCCAACGCACTCCAACACTGGCACTGCCTCTCCAACGCACTCCAAATCGCCACCCTTCAAATTCCTGGCTTCACCTTCCTTGCTATTTCCTGTCGGACCCTCGCTATTGTGTTCTTCAGGTCCGTGGAGAGCCAGCAGGCTGTTATCGCCAGCACCTGGTAGTGTGATCTTGGAGGAGTCTAGTGTGATCTTGGAGTCCACGCCAGCACCTGGTAGTGTGATCTTGGAGGAGTCTAGTGTGATCTTGGAGTCCACGCCAGCACCTGGTAGTCCTGGTAGTGTGGTCTTGGAGGAGTCCTCGCCAGCACCTGGTAGTGTGATCTTGGAGGAGTCCTCGCCAGCACCTGGTAGAGTGATCTTGGAGGAGTCCTCGCCAGCACCAGGTAGAGTGATCTTGGAGGAGTCTAGAGTGATCTTAGAGACCTCCTTCTCCTCACACTTATCCAGCTCTGAAGACGAAGCCATTTTCTTAAACTTAGTAAGTTTGACTGGGTTGTGCTCGTGTTCTGGGGCTCCCATCGCTGCCCAAAAGGTATAGAGTCCGGACTCTCTGCATGGAGCACTGATATTCATCAATAACAACTTCTTCACTAAAATCATATATAAAACTATAATCAAATAAGTTAACTTATAGACTACACCTCAGACCCGTTTACCAGGTCGTAGGAGCTTCTACACACTATTGTAACATTACACATCTCGCTACATACACACAAACGCTTTCAAGGTTAGGTTAGACACGCGTTTAGACGGAGAACAGCGCAACGGTGTATCCCCCACGGTTGTCAGAGTGGTACTGAGCACTGTTGCTCATTCAAACTCCCGCTTCACCCGCGCGGGCGACCGCTTCACCCATTTGGCCCACCTGAGTGCATTCTTTCCTCAATATCTCTCCTAGTTTACCCATTTGTGCCCAGCTGAGTGCATTATTTGCTCAATATCTCTCCTCCTACCTTCACTTACCCTACAGTGATGAGATGGCTTTGAAGCCTATCAGGCCGGGAGGAGGTTTAGGGGCCAATATCAACCTCTGGAGGGTTATTATGGGTCAATATCAACCTCTGGAGGGTTATTAGGGCCCAATGTCAACCTCTGGAGGGTTATTAGGGGCCAATATCAATCTCTGGAGGGTTATTGTGGCCAATATCAACCTCTGGAGGGATATTAGGGTCAATATCAACCTCTGGAGGGTTATTAGGGGCCAATATCATCCTCTGGAGGGTTATTAGGGGCCAATATCAACCTCTGGAGGGTTATTAGGGGCCAATATCAACCTCTGGAGGGTTATTAGGGGCCAATATCAACCCCTAGAGGGTTATTAGGGGCCAATATCAACCCCTGGAGGGTTATTAGGGTCAATATCAACCTCTGGAGGGTTATTAGGGGCCAATATCAACCTCTGGAGGGTTATTAGGGTCAATATCAACCCCTGGAAGGTTATTAGGGGCCAATATCAACCTGTGGAGGGTTATTAGGGTCAATATCAACCTTTGGAGGGTTATTGTGGCCAATATCAACCCCTGGAGGGTTATTAGGGGCCAATATCAACCTCTGGAGGGTTATTAGGGGCCAATATCAACCCCTGGAGGGTTATTAGGGGCCAATATCAACCTCTGGAGGGTTATTAGGGTCAATATCAACCTCTGGAGGGTTATTATGGCCAATATCAACCTCTGGAGGGTTATTAGGGGTCAATATCAACCTCTGGAGGATTATTAGGGGCCAATATCAACCCCTGGAGGGTTATTAGGGGCCAATATCAACCTCTGGAGGGTTATTAGGGTCAATATCAACCTCTGGAGGGTTATTATGGCCAATATCAACCTCTGGAGGGTTATTAGGGGTCAATATCAACCTCTGGAGGGTTATTAGGGCCAATATCAACCTCTGGAGGGTTATTAGGGTCATTATCAACCTCTGGAGGGTTATTAGGGGCCAATATCATCCTCTGGAGGGTTATTAGGGGCCAATATCAACCTCTGGAGGGTTATTAGGGGCCAATATCAACCTCTGGAGGGTTATTAGGGGCCAATATCAACCTCTGGAGGGTTATTAGGGGCCAATATCAACCCCTGGAGGGTTATTAGGGTCAATATCAACCTCTGGAGGGTTATTAGGGGCCAATATCAACCTCTGGAGGGTTATTAGGGTCAATATCAACCCCTGGAGGGTTATTAGGGGCCAATATCAACCTGTGGAGGGTTATTAGGGTCAATATCAACCTTTGGAGGGTTATTGTGGCCAATATCAACCTCTGGAGGGTTATTAGGGGCCAATATCAACCCCTGGAGGGTTATTAGGGGCCAATATCAACCTCTGGAGGGTTATTAGGGTCAATATCAACCTCTGGAGGGTTATTATGGCCAATATCAACCTCTGGAGGGTTATTAGGGGTCAATATCAACCTCTGGTGGATTATTAGGGGCCAATATCAACCCCTGGAGGGTTATTAGGGGCCAATATCAACCTCTGGAGGGTTATTAGGGTCAATATCAACCTCTGGAGGGTTATTATGGCCAATATCAACCTCTGGAGGGTTATTAGGGGTCAATATCAACCTCTGGAGGGTTATTAGGGCCAATATCAACCTCTGGAGGGTTATTAGGGCCAATATCAACCTCTGGAGGGTTATTAGGGCCAATATCAACCTCTGGAGGGTTATTAGGGGTCAATATCAACCTCTGGAGGGTTATTGTGGTCAATATCAACCTCTGGAGGGTTATTGTGGCCAATATCAACCTCTGGAGGGTTATTGTGGTCAATATCAACTTCTGGAGGGTTATTGTGGCCAATATCAACCTCTGGAGGGTTATTAAGGGCCAATATCAACCTCTGGAGGGCTATTAGGGGTCAATATCAACCTCTGGAGGGTTATTGTGGCCAATATCAACCTCTGGAGGGTTATTAGGGCCAATATCAACCTCTGGAGGGTTATTAGGGCCAATATCAACCTCTGGAGGGTTATTAGGGGCCAATATCAACCTCTGGAGGGCTATTAAGGGCCAATATCAACCTCTGGAGGGTTATTGTGGCCAATATCAACCTCTGGAGGGTTATTAGGGCCAATATCAACCTCTGGAGGGTTATTAGGGCCAATATCAACCTCTGGAGGGTTATTAGGGGGCCAATATCAACCTCTGGAGGGTTATTAAGGGCCAATATCAACCTCTGGAGGGTTATTAGGGGTCAATATCAACCTTTGGAGGGTTATTAGGGGCCAATATCAACCTCTGGAGGGTTATTAGGGCCAATATCAACCTCTGGAGGGTTATTAGGGCCAATATCAACCTCTGGAGGGTTATTAGGGCC